TTTAAATTGTTTCCTCAAGGGGATCAATTAAAAATCAAATTAACCAATTTGACATTTCCCAAAATTGGAAATCGCACCTAGTTTTTGTTATTTGGGGGTATTTTTCGAAATAGGGAGAAAGGATTAGCAAAAAGAATGCCTGATCAAAATGATGCTGATTCTGTGTGTTACAATCTTTTTGCCCACTACAGTGTCTACAGGGTTACAAGGGATGCCGTGCCAGCTAGAGTCCCAAGTCCATTCAACCAACACCCTAATCGATGAAGTTGGACTTGTTGAAATGGAAGTGGGACTGGACCAGTTGACATGGGGCGATGCTGACCTTCAACGGGAGCTTCGGCGCCTGAAGGACAACAGTTTGAAAATTCCGAACCTGAAATATATTTTCAAAATTGCCTTACTAAGAGTGATCCCCACCCTGACACACTATTCTGACATAGTTTCTGACATATCATCTGGACGTATATGTGGCATATATGTTCTGACATACTATCTTACATTCTTTTCTGAGATTCTATTTGACATTCTTTCTGGCATCCTATCTGGCATCTATTCTGACATACTTTCTGGAATATACTATATTCTGATCCTGCCTTGCCATGAGTTTGGGCTGGGAGTTCTTTTATTTGCGTGGATCAATGCCAATGGCTTGAATATCCACCAAATGTTGGTTTCACATGTTTGCACCCAATGATTGCCATTACCATTGATACCCCAAAATGGCCAGGTCCTGAATTTGAGAGTAGGTCCTGAAAAGTTTTCTGGGTACTGAAAAAACAGGACTTTGGCACAGGGTCTGAAAAAAGACGTAGGTGGAAGATTCAGGTATGCTGTTGGGTTGCAAAGCTGGGTTAATTGTGGTTGGTGTTGTTGTTGTTGTTGTCGTCGTCGTCGTTGTTGTTGTTGTTGTTGTCTTTGTTGTCTTTGTTGTTGTTGTTGGTTGTTTGTTGTTTGTTGTTTGTTGTTTGTTGTTTGTTGTTGTTGTTGTTGGTTGTTGGTTGTTGGTTGTTGGTTGTTGGTTGTTGGTTGTTGGTTGTTGGTTGTTGGTTGTTGGTTGTTTGTTGTTTGTTGTTTGTTGTTTGTTGTTTGTTGTTTGTTTGTTGTTTGTTGTTTGTTGTTTGTTGTTGTTGTTGTTGTTGTTGTCGTTGTCGTTGTCGTTGTCGTTGTCGTTGTCGTTGTCGTTGTCGTTGTCGTTGTTGTTGTTGTTGTTGCTGTTGCTGTTGCTGTTGCTGTTGCTGTTGTCGTCGAAGTTAAGGTAGTTAAGTTAGTGAAGTTAGGTAAGTTAATCAGTGTCTACTTTTTCAACATCTTCACGTCAAAAAAGGCTCAAAACCCCCAGTTTTTTACACTTTTGACTTCGAAATGTGCTTCGCGCCACAACGGCGTGCACTTTTTCGACACTTTTTCGACATCCGAAGCTCCAAAAGTGGTCCGACCGTCAGTTTTTAACACTTTTGACTTCAAAATGTGCTTCACGCCACAACGGCGTGCACTTTTTCGACATCTCAACTTCCAAAAGTGCTCCGAGAATGGTGTGTTTTGTACATTTTGACTTGGAAATGTGCTTCGCGCCACAACGGCGTGCACTTTTTCGACATCATAACTTCCAAAAGTGGTCCGAACCTGGTGTGTTTTGTACATTTTGACTTGGAAATGTGCTTCGCGCCACAACGGCGTGCACTTTTTCGACATCTCAACTTCCAAAAGTGGTCCGAGACCGCCAGTTTTTTAACACTTTTGACTTGGAAATGTGCTTCGCGCCACAACGGCGTGCAATTTTTCATCTCTCATCTGGCCAGCTGGCTCCGCACCCGCCGCTTTAGCGAGCCTACTTTTCGACCCTCCGGAGCCACAAATCATTGGAAAAACACAGTGTTTCGCGACTTTCCTACCTTTTCGCGCATCTGCATCTTCTTTCTTACTCTTTCTCTTCTGATCTTCTCTCTTCTAATCTTCCTCTTCTCTCTGCCTCTGCCCTGCTCTGCTTTTCATCTGTCCATATTGTCGGAAGTTTGACTTCTAAACTTCCTTCGAATATATATATATATATATGTATATATATATATATGTATTATACAAAGATGCATGTAAATACACAGAATATGAACATACATGTAATATATATATATACATATAGAAAAATATATTATATATATATACACATGTAAATACACATAATTATATATATATATACACATACACGTGTATGTATGTATGTATATATATATACACGTCAATCTGAAAAAAAAACACACGCAGGGTTTATGTATGTTTATGTATGTTTAAGTGACATACACAGCGTGGTGCTGCAACGCATCAGCATTGCTTGACCCAAGAACTGCCATTCTGAGGACCATCAGCATTGCCCCCAGCAGTACTTTTCGAGTTGGAGGACACTGACATGGTGAAAGTCTTGGTGAAGGCTCGGTGTTCCGGACCATTGGATGATGGATGATGGTTCTTGGCCCAGTGTCTTGGTGAATGACTGGGAGCGTAGCGAAGCCATGTGACGTGTGTAGCTTTCACCCCATGCCTTGGTGCACTGCACAGGCCGATGCTGAGGACCGGCCGGAAAGCGGCTTTGCAGCACTTGAAATAGAACATCGCCCTAGAACCCCCCAAACATCCCTTAAAGTTTGGGGTTTTCACCCTCCCAAAGTGGTTGGCTCATTTTGTTTCTCCATATCTTTTTCCCAATCGTCAATCTGGTTGGTGGTTTCAAAAAAAAGACGAACAACAAAGTGACAGAGTTTCATTTTTTTTTAACATGTTGGTTTTCAACCCTATCCACGATGTGCATCCCCAAGTATTCGTTAGTTCGTTCGTTCGTTCGTTCGTTCGTTAGTTGGTTAGCTACTTAGTTAGTTAGTTAGTTACTTAGTTACTTAGTTGTTTATAAATTCATAACCCATGTAATTTCAGATCTACAACCACCCTAGGGATGATGAGCCCAAGTGCCTCTCCAGGAGATCACGAGACAAAGGCATCACTGAGCTGAGCCGGCGGAGCGACACTAGGAGACGAGCGTCATTTTGGCTTCAGATGCCTCATGATGCGATGTATTATATGGCAGTGTGTCAAAACCAATAGTACCCCTTCTGTTCACATCAAAATAGCTGATAAATGGATGTGAATAACCCCCTAGAAATGGTATTAATAGGTATTGATCCATACCCATATCTAATTATAGATATACAATGATGTACACATATAATGATAAATTATGATAAATGAACATGTGTGATTTATAAACGATTCTAACTGATAAATCAATGTGAATGGTGCAACTGGATGCAAAGTTGAATATTTTGTGAGGCCTGCAGCTACCGATTGTTTCTACTTGCTGCTTCGAACAATTTTAAGTAGAACAGATGCACCCTTTGACGTGAAAGAAGGTACCCTGGATGGATCATCAAAGATGCTTATTTTGGGCCAACATCCCCAGGTGCAAAACCGGGGGAAGCCAGCTGCGAGAATTTTAGTCTCACGCGCATATTCGAATGATTTCGAATGCGTCCAAAGGCCAGGATATGCCAGGATGGTCATGTAATGTTCAATCATGTCACCTCAAATAGTGACAATCTTCTACTGAAAAGGTGACCCTGCAGGCCCTGCATGTGATTCATAGGGCTGATCGACTCTCGAACTGAACAGATCAGCTTGTCTTCTTTCAGTGTCATGAAACACGTAGCGTGCGCTCAACTTCGAGGTGCATATGAGCAAGGGTCAAAAGACGCTATGAAAGGCTTCCATTACGATCCGCCATCACTACTCAAAATATGTGATTTACTGCGTGTAGCGATAGGGGGCCTTATGTAGCGATACCTCTTTTTAGACTCTGTTTATGATTGAAGCTTCCTGTTGGGCACATGACTTTCCAATCTTTTGATGTCAGAGCGCGACACTGGAGCAGTCGCAGTGGGCTGGTCTTCCTGGGTAGTTGCAAGATGGCCTGTCGTCAAGTATATATGAGATAGTTACATTAAACAATATTGATATATTGGGGTATGTTGATCTATAAGGTATGCAAGAAACTAATTCATAACGCATCATGAGCTTGATGATGGTGATGATGCTGATGATGATGGTGATGATGTTGATTCAGATAGTGACCGTGCTGAGATATGTTGAAAAAGCATCCTTGTGCGGTCACGGACGCTTCTCCAAAGCCACTGTCCAGGAGTAGAATTGCAACATGGAGCTTGTCAGAATTTCATGTCACTTGAAACATACACCTGAGATCACACATTTTCTGGTCCCCGTAGCGATGCCCGAAGCGATACCCCTCGATACCCAGAGCGATACCTGAAATCCATGAAATTAGGGAGTACCCCACATGGTCACTTGAAACTATACAACTTGTGCTATAGGTGGAAAAATATGGGAAGTATGAACAAGGGTACCCTCAAGTTCTTACTGGGTTAGTTCTTAAAGGGTTCATTTGGTCAGGGTTTTGCCGATTCATTTTGGCGTGGTATTAGGTTGCAAAGGAGGCGGGGTGAAGAAAAAAAGGCGCCGGAAACAAGGCAGCACAGGCAAGACAAGCCAAGACAAGCCAACACAAGCCAAGGGCAGCCTCCGAGGTCAGATGACCTGCAGTGAGTCCGGCTGGTGTCTAGCTGAAGCTGTCGACGTCAGCCTTGGTGATCAAGTAAAAGTTTGAATTTCCCTGGAGATACCATCGCAAGGGGAATAAGAATCCGATTCCTCATCTGGATCCTCCTCTTCTAGCAGCAATTCTGCCTAGTTGGTGAAAAGGGTGCTGGGACTGTGTGTAGCGATAGGGGGCCTTATGAAGCGATGCCATGACCTCACCACATGAATTGAGTTTTGACCGTCGCACATATGGTTGTTGGAGCTCAAGGCTACTGAAGTTATGGCGTAACATCATTGACCCCCCTCATTCGATACTCAGTTGCTGAGAGAGAAGAAACATGTGGGTCTTGATTTGTACCCAATTTCTATCAATTTCTCATCATGGCACCCAACCCCAACAGCATGGCCGTTGCATTCCGTCCCATCACTGTGGTCAGAAACGCCATGGGTTGAGCGCTGAGCGCTGAGCGCTGAGCGGAGCGCTGAAAGGCCGTTGGAGCCAACGGATGAATGAGCATCCCGGGCTGAGTCGGTGAGTTGTTGATGTTGCGATTGGTGGTGACTGGAACCATGGAAGTTAATGGTGGTTAATAGTGGTTAATAATGGTTAATATTCACTGGTTGGTGGTTTGGAACATTTTTTATTTTTCCATATATTGGGAATGTCATCATCCGAACTGACGAACTCATATTTTTCAGAGGGGTTGAAACCACCAACCAGTGTTGTTTATGTCTATGTTTATTCTTGATGAGACATGAACATCCACAGCGCACATTTCATGATGATGTGTTGTGGTCAGCGCCTTCTTGAGCTAAGTAGATACAGGATAGGTTCTTTAGGCGTGCCGCGAACCATATATTAATATATTTGAATCTTATTTATCATATAATATACCAGATATTATTGAATATTAACTGACCCATTTAATATTAATATATTCATATCATTTCTGAACCCACCAATATCCAATATTCACCAGGCTTGGGCATCTACAGCCATCCCTGAGGCACGTGGCAAAGATCCTACAGGAGCTCATTTTCTTCCTGGCGCTGGTAGGAGTTAGCCACTGGAGCGCTCGCGTTGGGTTGGTATCATCCCAGGGTTCCGGTGCTTCGTAAATGGGCTGAGTTTCCCCAGTGATCAGCCAGGGATAAGCGTGGATAAGCTACGTGGATATCAGGGACTTAGTTTCCCCAGGGTTACTATAACTCTATAACTTACGGGTTAACCCGTTCACCACTTATCCGTGGGATGAAATTCTCAGTTGATCTGGATCCCAACAGCACCACTTGATAGGTGGTTTATTCATGTTTATCCCGTTATTTCCAAGGTTTCAACAAATCCAAGGTGGTGCAGGATTTCTTCCATCCACAGTATGTCGCTGGTTGGAATGGGAAATAAGTAGGGTTGAAGCCACAGGTGTTTCACCCCAAAATATTGGGGGCTCCTGGGAAAGCTTCCCCTTTTAGCCAAGGACCTAGGACAATTTGGGGATCTCTCATTCCTCAGAGCCCTGTACCATCAATTCATGGGAATCCACCACAAACTGTTCGTTGTCGGAATGGTCATGCCCAACATTACCAATTCTTGGGGATTTGATGATTTCATCGTTGTTCATAGGGGTTGTAACAACAAGTTACTTGCTAGAGGATGTGATGATATCATTGATATTAATAGATGAGTGATGCTTGGTGGCTTATGAAAAAGGGGTTTTCCACTCAGCAAATTCAGGGATTCCGATCAGTTCTAATGGACAATAGAAGGCCGGGTATGGATCAGATGAGGACTTTTCAATGGACTTAATGATATCAATGGTATAGTTTTTATTAGTTTTTGCTGATGGTATGATAGTTTTTGATCGTTTTTGCTGATGCTGATGCCAAGCATCCCCATCTGACAACCAGCTGGCTAGAATATCAATGAATATCAACTCCACTTGAGCGACGAGCGCAAAGCGACAAACGGGACCCCCAAGCATCGGCTGCACCCCAACGTTGTGGCCAAGAAGTTATGTCGCCTATGGGTTAAACGGTTACCCTCTGGTGAACTAACATAGCAATGGAAAATGGCCATTTATAGTGGATTTTCCCATTAAAAATGGTGATTTTCCATTGCTATGTTAGTTTACCAGAGGGTAAACCTATGGAAAGATGTGGAAAACCCCATGGTTTCCCTAGGAAAATCATCTACCAATGGTGGCTTTCCCACCGTGTCACTGGAAGGGCACATCTCCATTGCATTTCTTGCTCTGAAGAAAAACCCATGTTAGAGGAACATGTGCAAAAAAACATGCTCAACCCAATACCCAAGATCAAAATCCCATGGTTTTTGAGGTTCGTTAAAACAAAACAAGTCGTTAAAAAATGTAAAAACTAGATTTGGTTGACTATTTGCTTTACCACACTACTCGCTGACTTGACATGGTTTCATCCATACCTATCCTATTTCGCAGTGCAACAATTTTGTTTAGGTGGATGGTGATCCCCAATTGCCGTTTTTTTCAGTTGGTATCAAAATGTCCCCCGATTCTCCGCTTAAAACCACCACATGTTCACAGGTTGAATCACGACTCCAGCTCCTCTCGCAGCTGCTAAGGTGAATGCCTTCGAAGGCTGGTCAGACGTGCGAAGCCAGACTCCCGTGTGGCGGAGGCCTTGCTTATTTGCAGCTTAGTGCTTGGATGCTTGGACGGTGAAGTTCTAGTAGTTCTGGCCTTGATTCTGCCTTTATCCCAAAAATAGGAGAGACCTTCCAAAATCCCGATTTGTGGCTGGTTGAATTGGGAGAGTTTTTTTCGAAACAAAAGTTTGGGGAATCATATTTTTGGTTTCTAGACAAACTTGTGTGCTTCTGTCAGCTGAACGGATAACAGACTCTCGTTTGCAGGAAATGCCAGTAATTATGTCTCAGTATGTGGTATGTTCAAAGCAAGCAATGCTGGTGAGATGTTGGGAGACGAGATTATCTAGATTTGTTAATAATTATCTTTGGGACTCAGCAATGCGGGTGATCAAACAATTGGTGAATTCCTGCCATCCCTTCATTGCATTGCTGGGATATCCCACAAGAGCCTGGTTGAAAGCCCCTTGACAGTTTCGTTTTTCCCATTCAAAAAATCTTAGGTTACATTTGTATGATTATACAATTGTAAGATTTGTAAGTAGGATAGGCTTATGATTGTTTAGGAACTTGTGATTTTTTGATGATCATGATCATTCATGATATATATATATATAATGATTAATGACTACATGATGTATGAATGGTATTGGTACATCATTAATCATTAATTATATGTTTCTGGTATAGATGGGTTATCTACAATATACCCTCTGGTAAACTAACATGACTATGGAAAATCACCATTTTTAATGGGAACATCCACTATAAATGGCAATTTTCAATAGCTATGTTAAATTACAAGAGGGTATGCTTGTTTGCAAGAGACATATACCTGGGTTATCTCCAGATCTCGTGCGGGCGACTCAGGATGGTACAGTGCCTGGGCACCAGCGATGCTGAGGATTACCAGACTTAAATGCTGTCTACACACAGAAGGTGTTGATGAAATTTTGATCATCATCATAATCATCATCATCATCATCATCATCCATTAATAACACCATTAATAACCATTGATAACCATCATCATCATGGATTTTGATGGATTTTGCCCATGAATGTCTTGCCAACTGCGAACTAGTTCATAATAGTTCCACTGAGTGGCGCGAAGATATCCTTTTTTCTATACATTGTCCGACGAGGTGTTTCCATCACGCTGGTGCTGCTCAACAAATGGGTTATGACATCCTGGAAAGGCATGGTGCTGAGCATTTTTGTGGTGAAATCATGACACTTTTTGCCAAAGTCAAATCGCAGTTATGATCATCCTTAAATGGGCTGGTAAGTCATCTCAAAAAACCTCACTAACTTGTATAGTAAATGGACATATATCCCCAGTTACTAAGCATAAATCGCTAATCTTTCCCATGGCCCATCTAAGTAGGGACTTCCATACTTATGCACTGTGGGCGAATGGATCTGAAAACTGAATCCATCTGAATCCCCAAAAAGACGGCGGCCAAGTGGAATGCCAGGGTTGCTCTTTCGTGCAGGTGGTCTGCCTTTCCCCCTTTTTTACACGATGAGTCACAACCTTAACCTGATGTTGATTGATCAGCTTCCAAGTGCGAAAGGTCCAAGCACAGCATCTACATTTGCCGAAATTCAAGTGGATAAGTTTGACAAAACAACTATGTCACATTTTTTCCTAATTTCGACGGAATGTCGAACCTTTGCCTTACTATGCAGATGGCCAGGGTAAGAACTGTCCTTACGTTTCCACCCTCTCAAGCTGACCCAGTCTGAGGTCATATGATTTTGAAGGGCTGTTTTGCCCTGTTCTACTTGCTGGTCACCTGTCAACCATTGAAGGTACCCAGGCCGTCGTCATGTCAATGGCTGCATGAGTATACCCTAGTTGGAATGATTTTCCACCTCCAAAGGGTTCATAGAATTGTTCATATTATATACTCTATATATCTCTAATATATATATATATATATCTAATATATATATATATAATATAATATACATAATGTCATTGAGGATGTAATCACACTGTATCACTATACATACATATAATATCATATAATAATGATTTGTAGTGCAGGCAGAAGTAAAATTCCTCGCCCCAGTCACTGATCACGTCACAGTTGCGGCGCATGCTTTGGAGCATCGATCGTGGGTTTCATGACGGCGCTGGACGTGGCTGCTTCAAACATGAGCCCAGATCTCAGTCCGTCCATAGCTTGTGAGGCTTGTGATTCATGCAGATGTAAAGCGTGAACTGAGTTACCTCATGGGGTAGAATGATCATGAATAATCCATAGTAATCCCTTCCCCCTGATATTGTTAGTGCTATACGAAGCAGTGCTATCAGACTGTTGAAGCCGTGGCGGTCCTGAGCCAAGCTGAGGCTTCCTTTTCATCACAGTGGCTTTCTACACGATGCTCAAGTGACTTGGCTTGGGGCAAGATGAGTCATGAGGATCCTATCATAACATACGTATACAATAGTATACATAAGTAAACTACAATTCTCAACCTTTTGCCGCGTTGTTTCTTTCATATAATTCATCCCAAGAAAGGGGATCTCGCTGCCTCTGGGATCTCGCTGCGGATCCATGTAGTCATGGCATCCTGAGGTCTGCATCTCTGATTTTTATCCTCGTCGAAGGCTCAGTTGGTGTCCTGATCACCATCAAAGCGTCAAACCTATCATCGCACCACATCAATGTGTGGGCAGTGCCCGAAACATCAATTTGATCCAAGTCGATCCAATTAGCCGATCTAGTAGATGATGTTATGTTGACCATGATACCACCATATACCACCTATTTCTGTCCTACTATAAAGCCATCAGCTTCCAATTACCTGTCAGATAGGTAGCCAACCCCAAAATCAATCAAAATCATAAAGTAAAATCTTCCAGGTTACCTGGCTCACAGGCAACTTGAAGGCTAGGGTAGATCTAGTATAGTTTTTTTTCTAAAAACCATGAACTGGGAACCCTTAGATGGAGTTTTCCTTAAGTGGAGGTAGATACCCGGTACCCCCAAATATGCAGTCATTAGAGATCATTTAGAGCATGACTTAGTATTGAAACTCATGGTGACTTGGGGATCCACAATTTTAAGAACCCCCTAGGCCCTAGATATATATATAAATACACACATACACATATATATATACATACATATATATATATGTATATTTATTTATTTATATATATGTATATATATGTAGACCCGCCAGTGAATTGAATGGGCGCCCACTTGTCTCCATTCGCCAAGGTGTTTGGCCTGCTCCTACGAATGGAGCAATGCCGCTGCCTCAGTTGCTGCCGTGGAGGCCTAGTTTGGGGGGTGCCTTTTTTTAAACATGGGGGATTTAACCAGCAAAACACGGGAATCCAGCGAGTATAAACTATAAACTGGGTCAACCTTGAATATCTTGGATGGGTGGCTGTCTCCCTTAAATTGGGAATCTTTACAGTGCCAGCAAACTGAGAATATTGCAGAGGATCGAAGATTGGCCACGATGAAAATTGAGGAGGGGAGAGCATTTTTGTACGAAATTATCTAGCTTGTCCTTTTATGGACTGCCCACTGCAGGGTATTTTACCCAGCTGCCATGATTACCCTGTGTCTTTGCAATTTCCCATTGTGGCACCCTTTCGCATCCAACCATTAAATGGTGAAACAAAACAATATCAATGCAAAAATTCATGGTTTGTACTTGAAGCTAGTAGCTTTAGCGAGTAAAGTCATGAGTAATCACAAAATTATCACGGGCAAAGCAGACCATCAACTTCATGGGTTTCTTCCACCGGTGGTTGTCGGCAGTTCAGATCCGGAAGAAGCGTTCGACCCGCAGTGTCCCAAGGTAGTTTGGGCATTGCTGGGACAGTACTTTTGCAGATACCTCAGCTGGATGGTGTTCTTCAGTAGCTTTTGGTTTGCAGTTGTTCTTTCTCTCAAGGTGCAGTTATCTCTGGATCTTTTGTAGAACCCTCTAACTATGTATCAGCGGATAAGTTCTAAACTATGTATTCTAAAACTGGCTGCGAAATCATTGCTAAACAGGACCCTCTGGTAAACTAACATGACTATGGAACATCACCATTTTTAATGGGAAAATCCACTATGTTTATGGCCATTTTCAATAGCTATTTTGACATAACCAAAGGGTAGTTTCAAGATCTATTTTTCAGGAAGTTGGCAGATCCTCTGTCAGGATCGCCTTTGGGATTTTCATCACTTCATATGGTGAGACCGAGTTCGATGCCACGGGTTTCTGGCTGGTCCTCAGTCCCTTGGCGCCAGGAGCCTGTACAACGTATTTTTGGGGGGCATTTCAGATCATGGATTAACAATATTATAATGATGAATGATAATCCCTAACCTTATTTTTTCGAAGTATTTGGAAAGTAATACCGTAATCTCCAGATACTCATCGACCAACATTTAACTGTTCCTTTAGACTGGTTGACTCAAACTGGGACCAATGCATTGGAGGTCTTGCTGGTGTATACAGAATGCACTCGAAAAAAACGTCATTTCCACTGCAGCAAACATGACCAAACCGAAATAGATCAATATGATAAAACTCCATTAAATATGATAAATATGAATGTGCTACTTTGTTCAACTATATACCACTAACATAGATGATTTACATGAGCTCACATGAGATTTACTGAGGAAACTCAACTTATGAGGCTAATGATGTGTGTTACAACCCCTAAAAATGGTTGCTTGCTGAGAATGCAGGCTACTCCAAAATCGGTGTATCAAAAAAACAGTATCAATCGTCTTCCCTTCAATCTTCTACATTGATCTTTGTTTTACATAACTGGTTGGTGGTTTTAAGCATTTTTTATTATCCAGTTCATATATGGGATGTCATCCTTCCCATTGACTTTCACTCATTTTTTTTCAGAGGGGTAGGTATACCACCAAGCAGATAAACAATCATCAATCATCATTAACCATCATTAATCATTAGATAACCATTAGATAACCATTAGATAACCATTAGATATCCACTGGTTCATCCATTGATCATCTTCCCAGGTTCAGAGGTTTTTGCTGCCATGCGTTGGCTTGCCACGCAGAAGACCTTACATTCCAGCGGCCTCAGCGTCGCCACCTGAGATTTTGAAAAAGGGAGAGGCATCCCCCATCCAAAAAAAGACCAAAAAGACTACACTCCTTACTACTGTAAGACTGTAAGATAATGCTATATAATTTATATGTCTATTATCTGTTGTGCAATGATCTAAGTATAGACGTTAATCATATGTTAACGGTCCCTGTATCTTGACATTAAGGTATAATTATCAGGAGTCAATCCATTCATTGGGTATAATGGCCTAAGAATTGATGGTCCTCAAATTTCAAGACCTGGAATATCCAAGTATTGATCCCCGAATCTCAACTGGATGCATAGGTCACTCCTTGAATATGATGGATAGGGCCGTGTGACTCTCTATTTGGTGATGTTGTGCACCCATGGACCTGGGTCGATGCCTGGTGATGCATGTCCTGACCACCTCCTTGGTTGCCTTTTTTGGCGCCGCGAGTTGGGTTGCTCCGTACTGATTTCGGGACTTGTCCAACCTGTTCACCTTGAGATGTAGAAACTTGATGTTGGGAATGGTAAGGAGGTTACCCTCTGGTAATTTAACATAGCTATTGAAAATCACCATTTTTAATGGGTAAATCCACTATAAATGGGCCATTTTCAATAGCTATTTTGACATAACCAGAGGGTAACATGATGAAGACTTTCTGGGAGCACCATCCCAGATTGTGGTCATTCTCCGGCCTTTGAGCCCCCGTTGAACTACCCAAGTTTGGCAAGCACCCTGTTTGGTGAAGCATTTGGGGTTGAAAGTCGGGTACCCCCAGGTTCAGCATAGTGTATCATATGTATATATATATATGTATACAGATACATAATCATACATAATCATACATAATCATACATAATCATACATAATCATACATAATCATACATAATCATACATAATCATACATAATCATATATATATATGTATATATGTATGTATGCAGATAACCATGCAAACAGACAAACAACCATACAAACATACAAAAACAAACGAACATACATACATATATAATCATATATACATAGTCACATACATATACATTATACACATACATAATACATATATATATATATATATAATTATACATTATACACATAATTAGTTTCCCGATTAACATGCCATGACGCATCTTCTATGATACGCCACCGTTTTTCGGGTGCCGTTGCATCTCCACCTTGATCCAGGCGATGCAGACGGTGCTCTTCATGTTGGGAGCCCCATCTATTATATATCAAACTGTCACATTTCCATTCTGTAAAGCTATGCCTACTTTTGTTATTTTTCATATTTAATGGTGTCCTTTGCCAAAAACCCTTGAGTAACACTCAAGATGCTGTCAATCCTCGCCGCACTTTTGCTGTCTGCTTTGTTCTACTGCACCCGCCTCTTTTTTCCTAGAGGGGCTGCCTTCCCCAAAAGACCCTGCTTACCCTTACCGTAAGAACCCTTTGGTGTGGGCACAGTGTTCGGGAATTAAAAAAGGTTTTGGAATGTAGTGAGATTGTGCCAAACAATAAGATTCTGATATTGAAATTGGAAAGTGAGACAATGCCAATGAGTACGGTTCTGAGTTTGGAATAAAAAAGTGAGAGTGTGCCTGGTAGTGCAATTCTGGTTGAATGGGACTGTGAGATATTGCAATCTGAGACAAATGGATAGAATCTCAGATTCCCATTGCAGGTCACATTAATGTTCCTAATGTGAAACTCACATGACGTCACGAACGCAAAGGTGCCAAACACATCCAAAAACACATAAAGTAGGTTCCAAAAAGAATTATGCTCGTTTTGCAACAACAATCTCACATTCACATTCTGTTTGCATATTCTACTGTCAACTTTTTCCGGCACAAGCCTCTCAAACCCGCGTGGGTTGAAAGAACGATGGTAAGAAAAAGAACGGTCCTGCCAAACAGTACGATTCTGAGATTGGAACGGGACTATACGGGACTGAGATTATGCGAGGCAGTACGAGTTTGAGATTGGAATGGACAGTGAGACTATACCAAGCAGTACGATTCTGAGACTGGACTGCGAATGTGAAATTATGCCATATAGTATCAGTCTGAGATTGCTCTAGAAATGCGCAAGTCTCAGTTTGAAAATATCTCTATCAGGCTTAGACAACAAGATCTTCACATAGATCTGCAATTCAGGCAAAGAAAAATAGGCTCGCGGACAAGCGGCACCAACTTCGAGTGCGCAGCCATGCCAGGGAACAAAGCAACCCCACTATGAACCGAACCCGCTCAAAGACACAAATCGAACCCTCAATACAGCACAACATGTCCAAAAACATGTTCGAAGAAAATCTCATCTCCAACAACTTGAAAGAACGATTAAAACTGTGAGTACGAATGTTGGAAAAGAATGCGAAACAAATATGTTATTTGAAATTATTTGATATAATTTTTATAAATGTACATATATATATATTATATATATATAATATGTACTAATGTTTATGACTAATATATTATATTTATTATATGATATCTAGATTTTGTTTTTTCCACATGGATAACTGGCACAACATCCCACAACTATATATGATAATCGATGATACCTGTTGTTGTTCCTTGTTGTTTGTCCTTGTTGTTGGATGATCCAAAAAGATGTCTGAGGATCATGATTGTTCACTGCGCTTTCGGTCGCTGCTAGTGTTCTGGTACAACCTGAAGTCGCTGCTGAGTGCCTCACTCCCGCGCAGTCCCAACATCAAAGTTGCGACTTTGTTCATCATGTCCAAAAGGTGAGTCAATGTTAGCATTTTTCTGAGATAGTCAACAACATCAGTGATCAACATAACATACATAACTCATCCAGCATCATCCAGCTCTAGAATTTTCATCAGAATTCATAGATTCAACATCTTTCAGCTACCATCCCCCCAGCATAGGCCCTGCCACGAGTGGGGAAGGCTACAGTCCTCCAAGAACAGGAACTATTCATTGGATGCTACACCTGACACTTCACCATTCCTAGCCATTCAGACACTTATTTTTGGATGTTTTTGGATAGCCAATGATAGCCAAAACCAGTTTTTTCCAAGATATCCTCAGCATAAAAGCACCCGGAGGCGCTTCGATGTGTCGGCATGTTCGCCAAGGTCTCCTGCGTCCTCAGTGACATTGGCGCCCATCGTGGTCTTGAGAGGTTGGGAACGTCCCCAACGGTTTGACATGTTTCAGGGGGCTGAGACCAACGTCACACATTTTATACACATTTTGATATTTTTCCATAGAATTATGTACCTCTATTTGTCCGCAATCAGATCATGTTGGATGAAAAAAAATGGATGGGAACATCATGGGAAATGAGGCGGAAAGTATGGAAAAGCAGAGGGAAGTCATGGAAAATGAGCTGGAAGAATCCTGAACAATGAGGAACGCCATGGAACGTGATGAACAAGAATAACTAAAAGTGAGCAGGAAAATCAATAAATCATCTCACATGCGTCACATGATGCAGAAACAGGTCAACATGGCCAGTTGGCCTGTGGTATTGTTGGGTGTATAGGGTAGATGAAGATGAATACAATGATGATTGATGGTTGATGATTGACACTGACGATGACAATGACGATGACGATGACGATGACGATGATGATGATGATGATGATGCTGGTGATGATGATGATGATGATGATGATGATGATGATGATGATGATGACGACGACGACGACAATGACGATGGCGATGCCGATGGCGATGACGATGATGATGATGACGATGATGATGATGATGATGATGATGACGATGATGATGACGATGACGATGACGATGACGATGATGATGACGATGACGATGATGATGATGATGATGATGATGATGATGAGGATGAGAGTCACGTGAGTCAAGTGAATCGAGTAAGTTAAGTCAAGTGAATCGAGTATGTCTTGTCTTGGAATGCCTTGGATGATCCCTGAAATGTATACTGCTACGGTGAATTCTTGGGGTGCAACCCCTTCATACCCCTTCGAACCTGGGATTTCAAACCAGTTGTGGTACATTCGTGATTAAACCAGTTAGGTGTTGGGCTATTCTCCCTGAGCTTGGGATGAAAATGGTTATGAAATATTATGAATCATGGCCCAATTCCAGAAATCTCCGGGTGGATATGTTCTGCCGCGCCGCAGAATGGCACGAGTTGACCTTTCTGGCGGAACCACAGGAAGTGCTTCACTATTTCCTGCTGGTGCACCATGGGGGCTGATCTTGGGTTCACACGGGTACTGCCTGGGTTCTGACCCATAGCCCATTTAGTTTTTGGGCCTGGATCCAAGACTGATGGAAAGCTTCTCGTTTTGGGATCCTTTAACGTTGGGTAGAAATCGTTTGGATGACCAAAACTTTATGAGGTTTCCTAAAAGGCTCCCTTTATAATAAACTCCTTACTCGAAGCCGGAAGCATCTACTTTCTTCGTCAATTTCATAATTAGTATCATGACCCATAGGATCCATGTATGGTATATATGCTAACATTTGGGGTATACTGATGGGATCCATGTCACCATATATAGCAGCACCATGGATCCTATGGGTGATGATCGTAATGATGTTTTATAGTACAATGTAGTACTATTCTTCAGCTCGGTTGGATCGCAAACCACCAGTGATGCCCATTGATGCCCTTACATTGATCAATGTACCACCTTGGAGTTGTGAGGCAAACGTTCGGCCCGCTCAACCACACTCCTGGAAAGTGATTTGGGCCTCGTGGCTCCCTGTCATCCCTTTATACTCATTGTGAGAAGGATTCCCATAAGCCAACAAGGGTGTCTCGCAGCCATTGCTCAATCGAAAATAGCACCAGTAGCAATAACCCCCCCGGAGCAACTGCCTGCGGAGGTGCTGGTGCCGGGTTTTTTAGCATTTCTCCTGCTTCTGATTGAGGCGCGTCTCCGCCACATGGATTTCTTCACCCCAGTTACAACTGGGTAAAACCTACTTACCCTACTTTCCCCTGTGTACTCACTAAACTAAATGGAAAACTGGGTGAACCCTACTAAGTGGTTACTGGCTTATTACTTACCCTACTTAACTACGCTTATAAGCCACTCACTGGAAGCTGAGAAACTGTACCAGGTGCAACTGGTGAAAGTTACGTCCGCAGTCCCGGAGATGGGGACATGTGACTTCTTGGGATGGGTTCGCAGCAACTGTTCGTAGCACACATGTCACATGAACCATTTTTGTAGCTTCATTCATGATTTGAATGATTAATTGAGCACCTCTTTGAATGGACTATGCGGATGTCACAAGCTTATCACTGCACTGAAGCTAGAAGATACCACATATACCCTGCACTGCATGTGGATCCACAGCAAATGCGCAAAAACACAGTCCTTGACTGGGATGGGGGTCCTGCCATGGCATAGCTGGGCAGAGCCTTGAAATGGATATATAGATGGTGGATAGATAATGAATATCCCATAGGATCCATGTATGGTATATATGCTAACATTTGGGGTATCTTGATGGTAAATGTCACCATATATAGCAGCACCATGGATCCTATGGGTAATGAATGATCATAACCTATCATCAATCTTTCCACGAATCTTGAAGAACGTCCAGAACGCCAAAGGTCGTCATTGACCTTGTCCGTCTTTGGCAACCTGAAGTCAGTAGCACCTTGCCGTCCAACGTGGGGAGATCGGGATATCACAGGACCATGAGTTCCAAGGGAAATCCCAAACTTCTCGGGGTTAGAAATCCCATGGTTCTGAACTCTAGCAATGCTAGGCTATATATTGTTTATTGTAGTTGTAGGGATGATATCTCAAGCTCAGGGGGCTTATTATGGTTATGAACTCTAATAAGTGGTTTAATATGTCACCATAGTTATGGGGATGAGATCCCAAATTTAGGAGGTTAGAATCCGATGGTTTTATCTTGGTTTTATCCATGCATAATCCAAGTATGCACCTCCAAAAATGGGATAGAATGGAGAGAATAATGGGGATATCCTGACTTTTCTGAGTCGGTGATTGGCATGGCATTGTCCCATTGCTTATCAACCAGAAATGGGGCAGGGAATATGTTTGTCTGATGGTTTTCTTCAGCAAATCTATATAAGTCATACAGAGAACCATAGTCTTACGATCAAAGAAGGGGAAGCTCTATATATTATTATATATTCCGATCCATTTACATATAAAATCATATAAATAGTCCTCGAGCACCTTTCGCCCACGCCACACGTTGCGGTAATTGTGGAGGCCCTGATTTTGTTCACCAAATTGAGTGGGAAGAATTCGCCATGCAGTCATGGCCATTTATTAGTTATAACCGGTTACAAATGGGATTATACATTCTATAAATGGGGTTATACGGTTATATGTAATGATAAGTGGTATTTCGGGCCATAACTGTGGTTTCCCTGTTTTTTTCCATGGTTTTACCCTCTGGTAATTTAACATAGCTATTGAAAATGACCATTTATAGTGGATTTTCCCATGAAAAATGGTGATCTTTCCATAGTTATGTGGCAAATTACCAGAGGGTAGCCATCCATTAGGTGACGATCATCTTTTCCATTGTTGTCTTCGGTGAGACGACCACCTTGCTGCAATGGTCCGGTCTTTTGTTGGCGACTTGGACGAAGAGACGGGTCAAAAAAAAAAAACAAGAGGAAAAGCCATTTTTTTGGGGGACCCATATTTTGGGAAGACCCCTAATATGAAGCAATATGGCTATGGGTCAATACCTATTAATACCATTTTTTGGGGACCCATATTTTGGGAAGACCCCTAATATGAAGCAATATGGCAGTGTGTCAAAACCTTGTACCCCTTCTGTTCACATCAAAATAGCTGGGATTTATGGATGTTCATCCCATTAAAAATGGTATTAATATATAGGTATTGATCCATACCCATATGAAGCCATGTTGATATGCATGTTGATATATGCTCATGTCTCATGACACACAGGATCCAGTGTCTCCATCACTCCGAAGATCTGCAACTGAACTTGCTTTCAGCAGGGGAGGCCTTACAGGACTCCCAACAGACTCAGATGGGTATGGGTCAATACCTATAGATACATTTTTAGTGGGATGAACATCCATTTACCAGCTATTTTGATGTTCACCAGGGGTACAAGGTTTTGACACATCCCCAGATGGTGACAGCACACAACATGTGTTTGGTACGAATGTCCGATACACCCTGCTTGTGTCATGTCTGTCACATCCCATCCGCCATGGCCATGTTGCGATGTGCTGGGTGAGATCATGATTTTCAGCTCACAATCTCCCCATCCTAGGCCCTGACTGGGATGTTGGTTTATGCACCTCGGCAGCAGATCCTCCTGCGCACTGCAGGGAGGATGATAGAATAAGGGTACGTACAGCAAGCATCATGACGCTGTAAAATGAAGGTATCGTGCCATTGTTACAGCCATAATTGGGGTTGATTCATTCCCCAACACAGTCCTTACTTAGACCTTACACCCATAAGATACCTTAATGTTAATACAAATTTGCTGTACAGATCATATATATATACACATGCATTAATTAATGTCAGTTATGTATGTCCCCCGACATATTCCCCGATAGCCCTGAGCTTTGTTCAAGTCGTCCCCAGCAAGGCGAGATTGAAAAATAAATCGCTGGCCGTGGACTCCCTGGCTCTCGTGCGCTACGAGGTCTTGCCACAGGACACGGGGAACTGCGGTGAAAGTTGGATGGTGAGGCTTTTTGGACGTGATCTTTCGGGAGATGTTGGGAGTATAAATTCTAACACGGATTATATGTATGTATATATATATATATGTATATATATATATATATGGCAGTGTGTCAAAACCTTGTACCCCTGGTGAACATCAAAATAGCTGGTAAATGGATGTTCATCCCCCTAAAAATGGTATTAATAGGTATTGATCCATACCCATTATAACATGAATTGTGAATAATTAGTTATAGATTATATAGTATCATCCATTATTTATCAGGCTTATGATGTTACCAACGGAGGCCCACTCGGATGTCTCGAGGAAGATGAGGAGCCACTGGAGGGCAATGAGAATGGATGCCCCTGAACTGCAATGCTAACATGACTGGGGTATATTGATGGGATCCATGGCACACCATATATAGCATGTAATACATGGATTCTATGGGGTATGGAACAGTATGAAGCAATATCGGAGTATGGAATTGAACAGTTCGAGATTTCATGCCTCCAAAAAAGCAAGAAACATGCATGGATACAAACAAATACGTCAAATGTACTGCACAAATTGGGTCGTCAAGAAGCCGAGGCGGCGAGGTTGATGTACAGATAGATGAGCCAAAGGCCAGGCGGCCTAGCTGGGGTGGTTCAAAAGTGACTATAGAATGTGTTAAAACTGTTTTGTTCAATGTTTTTAATATCTTTTGGGTTGAAATTCAATATTTTTAATGTTTTCCATGTTTTTAAAACTGTTTTTATAACTGTTTCTTTTCATGTTTTGTCTGGAGTGTTTCCAGGACGACTTAGGGTTCGCATTCACAGTTTCCATTTTTTTTTGGTGAGTCATGGTCGCATCATCTCCATCATCTGCTGCAGGTGCCCCCACCTTCCACAGTTGGTGCGAAGACCGCGCCGGCCCTTTGGACCTGCAAGATGGTCAACCATGGAATGGGGACAGCTGTCGATCTTTTGTTGAATTCAGAATTTAGATCAATTGAGTGCCCGGGGTCATTTTGGGTCAGTCTTAGTATGAACGTGTTAAATTTCATTTGTGTAGGACGTTTTTTTCTTTTTCGGGCTATCCAATTCTGGCCCTGGCCCCCTTTATTTGGCCCATTTGCCCATCTCTAAGCAGTGGCTTTCGAGTCCCCACAGGCTGCTGGGTATTACCCAGCAGCGTGGCTGCGAATGGTTAAACAATGTTAAACAATTAAAGCCAGCAACTAGGGCTACTCTAAGACTCTAAGGATCTCTGTGGCTCACATGGGCTTGATGGAATTTATTAGTCTCTTTTTTTGGGCTTGTATAGAACTGCTATATATATATACATATATAATATAATATATATATATATTATTATATATAATATATATATATGTTATATATATATGGATATGTGTATACATTTGTCAGATTCGCCATGCTATGCCATGCTAAAGATAAATCACAATATGGGTTTGTTTGGTTGACAATCATTTGTCTTATGAAAATTAGCATTTGCAGCGTGTACCCCAAATTCACACACATCCAAATATCACAATGATTTATTTATATAATTCCAATTTTCCAATTAAATCCCCATTAGAAGATTTTCCCAAACACATCCCAACTAACATCGTTTGATCTCTGGATCCCCGTCCTTTTTTTTGGCCACTAACGTTTTTTTGTTGTTTTCGCTCACATGTTTTCATCCAGCGAGGTTGAGGAAGAGCCGCAATGACCCCCAAAAAAAGCCGTGACAGCGCGCAAGCGCCCTGATGTTTGCTGTGTGATCCCAGGGGGCACCAACATAATCATACGATCATTCCGGGATTGATGGGATATGAAAAAAAACGCAATAACTATGGTAATATGATCACATGGATAATACATATTATGGATATATATATATGATATATCACATGGATTCATATAGTATTATGAATTATTCTATGAACCCTTGTGAACATAAAAACCACTATGGAGTATATATTTATCTATACATAGTATTGTACGGAAATGTATTGATACTTGATACGCAACTTATGCTTCCGTAGGTGTGATGAGTAGAACTTCATATGATGTGGTATACTCCAGTTGGTTCTGCTAAGGAAATCGTGAAATTGTGGAATTGCATCGCATATTCTTGTGGCTCTAGCGGCCCTAGCGTTGGGAATTTCCAATTGTCGACAACGAACACAAATGAACTATGAACTGGCGAGAATCAACAAAAAGATGACTATGTACTAGTGAGTGTATAATATATATATATATATGTTTATAATCATTAATTATTCTGGGTGTTGCTATGTATTTCCGGGTACTCATTGTTGTTGCTTGTCTTGTGATATTATCGTTGATTGACAGCATAAGCTGGTGACGACCCATGGCTCCCATGTCGAGCTATGGAAGGCCCACAAGCAGTTCCATTTTGAAGTTACCCTCTGGTTGTGTCAAAATAGCTATTGAAAATTGCCCAGTTGAAATAGTGGATTTTCCCATAAAAAAAATGGTGATTTTCCATAGTTAAACGTTAGTTTACCAGAGGGTACTTTTTCCCTTGTTCAAACATGTATCGCGTAGCAATGCGTAGCACTTCACAAACCTATCAGTGATATCCTGGAAAGAACTTCCTCCACTAGGTTGGGTATTTTGGGTGGGCAATGGGATCTTTGGATGTCAGCTGCCGAAGTTTGTGGCGATGACATTGGCGATGACCCAATAAAAAATGGTGCGGATAGTGCGGATGGCACTTCCAATGAACACGACGTCAGCTCTTTTTTAACGGGTAGCTCCCCAACGAGATAACGAGTACATGCTTTGACATCAACTGGGGTTGGATCAATACCTATTAATACCATTTTTACTGGGATGACCATCCATTTACCAGCTATTTTGATGTTCACCAGGGAACCAGGGTTTTGACCCATCCCCAACTGATAAATGTGGATTTATACTCCAAATACATGATGTAACTAGTGAATCTACCAAGATATCGTATCATATAGTGATTGGTATTGATGATCCCCGTTGACATTTCCCATTTAAAATGGTAGGCCTTGGGCCCCCTATAAATCAGTTTTTATGGTTTTTTTGGTGCCGTCGGGGCACTCCATTTTGTAGAAAGAGACCTGTTTGTACACACCCAACATCACTTTATATGAGAACAAGATCATATGCCAGTGTCAGGCACCTCCATTTTGTAGAAGATTTGGAATACCATTTTGTAGATGGGTACGGGGAGTTGATAAATACATCCACAAATGTAAATATATTTGAACACAAAAAAATATCAACCGCTTTTGGTTGGCTCAGCAGTGCTGGCCGCTTCCCCCAAGCCTTCGAACTAGCTGATTGTCAGTGGCCATGCTGCGCTTTCACATGGCGTTCCTGCTGATCGTGGGATTGGTTGGGGACGGCGTCAAGGTGGCTGACGACACAGCCACACAGACGCCAGAGGAATGGCATCTTGTCTTCGAACGTGACTGATTGGGACAGTTGCCAGGAATAGGACAACTCCAAGAAAGACACTTCAAGAATTGGGCGCAGTTTTCAAAAAAACAAGGAAACTTTTTTGTTTTTACCAATTCCATTTGGAGCTACAAAATGGTAGGCCATTTCCATTGGCAGCTACAAAATGGTGGGATACAGAAATAGTTAGACCATGTAGTCTATGAATGGGGACCATCCATTTTGTAGACTGGTATGGGCTAGCTGGCCAGAGTTTGCAATGGGTTACCCAATGTTCTTTTACTAAGGTGGTTCAAACCAGAACAACACAAAGAGACGCTTCTGGATTGGATGTCCTGGTTGTCTTGCCGGGTGCAGAAGCGGTACCACGTGCTAGACCTTAACTATTTCTGTATCCCACCATTTTGTAGCTGCCAATGGAAATGGCCTACCATTTTGTAGCTCCAAATGGAATTGGTAAAAACAAAAAAGTTTCCTTGTTTTTTTGAAAACTGCGCCCAATTCTTGAAGTGTCTTTCTTGGAGTTGTCCTATTCCTGGCAACTGTCCCAATCAGTCACGTTCGAAGACAAGATGCCATTCCTCTGGCGTCTGTGTGGCTGTGTCGTCAGCCACCTTGACGCCTTCCCCAACCAATCCCACGATCAGCAGGAACGCCATGTGAAAGCGCAGCATGGCCACTGACAATCAGCTAGTTCGAGGGCTTGGGGGCAGCGGCCGGCACTGCTGAGCCAACCAAAAGCGGTTAGAGCAGGGTGCGACCACAGGGTTGCTTTGTGTCTTACAAAATGGTTCTCCCAGTTTTCACAGTTTTTTGGACACTATGTTAACCCAAAATACTTGATGTTGGTGGGCAGGTGGGGTACCCTGGTGCCACCATTTTGTAGGCAGCAACCCCCATGGGCGCTACCATTTTGTAGGTGTCCCCATACCATTTTGTAGGGAGGTAGGCTGGGCACCCTACACTTTGGTAGGCCCAACCTCTCGGGGCGAATTTCAAGGGGGATGAAAGCTAGATGTTTTTTTTAATGACTTTCAAGGGCCCTCCAGAACCATCCAGAACAAACAATCTGTCTACAAAATGGAAGGGCGCCATCACATCCACAAGCATGATCCCCGTTGACATTTCCCATTTAAAATGGTAGGCCTTGGGCCCCCTATAAATCAGATTTTATGTTTTTTTTTGTGCCGTCGGGGCACTCCATTTTGTAGAAAGAGACCTGCTTATACACACCCAACATCACTTTATATGAGAACAAGATCATATGCCAGCGTCAGGCACCTCCATTTTGTAGAAGATTTGGAATACCATTTTGTAGATGGGTACGGGGAGTTGATAAATACATCCACAAATGTAAATATATTTGAACACAAAAAAATATCAACCGCTTTTGGTTAACAGAGAACCAGTGCTGAATGAAGCAGGAAACCTATGGAAGCCTAAGTACGTCTCCCACCTGCCCATCAACTTCAAGTATTTTGGGTTAACATAATGTCCAAAAAATGTGAAAAATGGGAAAGCTAGATTTTTTTTTTAATGACTTTCAATGGCCCTCCAGAACCATCCAGAACAAACAACCTGTCTACAAAATGGAAGGGCGCCATCACATCCACAAGCATGTTCATGATACTCTGGCACTACCATTTTGTAGCTGGTTCATGCTGGTTCAAGACATATTTTGTAAGAATCTCGAGTGCCAAGCTACATGGGTTTGTTGGAGGGGATTGTGGTGGCTGCCTTTGCAATAGGCTTGGCGATGGGGATCCTACTTAGAAAGTGTGTCTGCCGACCATGTGGATTTTGTGGTGGAGATGATCGCAAAGTTTTCAAAGCCTCCAAAATTTTGAAACCAGCCCCGGTCCAGAAAAAAAACGCGATGACCACTACTTCGGTCCAGTCTATCTGACTACTTCTGTTGGACGATACTTTATGAAACCCGATTGCCAGATGCACAAAATGCAAAAATGTGAGATATGCAAGGATTGCTGGAGAGATTTTAAGAAGAAATTTCATTCAAGGTAAACTGTCTACAAATTGGTCGCCCAAAAAAGACTAGGGTGCGACCACAGGGTTGCTTTGTGTCTTACAAAATGGTTCTCCCATTTTTCACAGTTTTTTGGACACTATGTTAACCCAAAATACTTGATGTTGGTGGGCAGGTGGGGTACCCTGGTGCCACCATTTTGTAGGCAGCAACCCCCATGGGCGCTACCATTTTGTAGGTGTCCCCATACCATTTTGTAGGGGGATAGGCTGGGCACCCTACAGAATGGAGCTCTCATCGTCTCGGGGCGAATTTCAAGGGGGATTATTGATGCGTATTGATATTGTATTGATAGTCATGGTATATAAAATCCACCAAAACATCATCTCAACTATTATATTGATCATTAGCCACCATACTATATATATATACACATACATATATTATACATATCTCTGATGAATCCTCCAAAAACTATTCTCAAATCCATATACCGCAGGCCAGCGCTTTGGTCACAGCATCGCTGTGGCCCGGAGAGAAGGTGTGGTCCTCGAAGTAGAGCACAGATGATTGAAGTGCTATCATACAAGTTTATTATTATTTTAAGGACAATATATATATAATAATAGTATATATGTACATAAATTATAAGTGATAATATAGAACGGTATAAAATTATACCGTATTATACATATTATTATTGTGGACGACATATAATATAGCAGCGGCACACATGCAATATGTTATATCAGTAATATATGTTCTATATTATATATGCTATGTGTATATTATTATACTGCCTGCCCCCTAATACTAACCTCCCTTATAGTAAACACCTGGAGTAGCCGTTGTTATTTTCGGGTATCTAGTAGTGTTAGGGTGAGAAGCGTTCCCGGTCTAATAATAATAAGATCAAAACCAGAATTTAACAACAAATTTATTTCGTTTCAAATTTATCAATTCCTTTTTAAACATCTATTTTCCGAGAAATCCCTAATAATCAAATCAAAACCGTACTGCAAAAGACATGTGTTGTCCGTTTCAAAATCGATCATTTCCTTTTCTAACCACTACTTAATCAAAAACGAGATTTCGAAGCTCTCCCCCTAATAATCAAATCAAAACATTACTTCAATAAACAAAATTTATTGCATGTCAGGGACCGTAATATTAAACCGGCCCAAACCAACTAGTTTTTATTGTTAAGGGGTGAAACCCTGAAATGGGTCCTTTATGTTTAAATTGTTATCAAAGGGGGATCAGTTAAAAATCAACTTGACCGACCTAAAATTTCCCCAAATTGGTACTGGACTGGACCCTAGTTTTTCTTATTTGGGGTACTTTTAGCAATCGGGGGAAGGGATTCTATATGTAATGTGCTATATAGTTTTAAGTGTCAGTCATGTCCTAATGCTGTTTCATGATAAATGCTATATATTATATGATATAATGTTACATCGACAATAGTAAAGGGGGTCCCCCCCCTATTTTTTTTTTAAGGGGGGGGTCTGCTTTGCAATAGTAAATCGAAAATCCCAACTCTTCCCCAAAGGCTTCTGGTAAGGTTTTGACAAATCCTCTCTTTTCTGATGGGCTCTGATGGTCTTCATTGGATTCTGATAGGAAGAAGGGAAAAAAATGCCTGCTAGAGCCAGGAAGGTTGTTTCTTATTGCAAGTGCTAATTCCAATGTTTAATTGCAAATGCAAGGACCTGCAAGGGGGTACCCTTTGTGGACCAGTTTTTTGCAATTGTTTAAAAGGATTTTAATAAAGAAAACAGTTTTTTTGAACAAGGTAAAATTTCTGATTTGGTAAAGGTTTGCTTTGTTTTTGCTTTTGAAAAACATGCAATCACAATTTATAAAAACCATTCAGCCACAATTAAAAACACTAAGAACGAAGGGAAAAATACAGCTGAACTGTAACTGGTTCTGATTTTTTTTCCTGCATCCATACTAAATCTCAGTTAGCTCCTTTACAATTTAGTATTGGAAAATCTGATAATTTGGGATTTTTCTGAAAATTATTTGTAGCTATTGCGAATGAACCACATTTATTGCAGATGCTCTGGACCAAGGTTGATGTTTGTAATTTAAAATCAATAAGGCCTAATTTAAAATCAATAGGGGCTGAAAAATCAGACTCTGAAAATTATTTAGAGCTATTGCACGCGCTTTACTATTGTCCATCCAACATTATATATGGGTGCAAGTCAAAATAGGAGGTCCGGAACAAGCTCCGGGACCACACCCGTTCCATACCCCCGTTCCATACCCCCGTTCCATACCCCCTTGAAGGATCCGTTCCATACCTCTGTTCCATACCTCTGATCCATACGTTATAATATATATATATATATTATTATGTATATATATATATATGATATAATTATGTATATATAAAATTTTATGTATATATAATTTTGCAAATACATATACAATAGATATATAATTAACTTATAATTGTATTTTTAATATATATATATATATGAACATGTGCAATTTGATTTTACATGTTTGCGCACATACAGCCCAAGCCCTGTGATTGTGTTGGGAAGTCTGTGCCTGCAGCACTTAAAACTGCTACCTACTTTGTTGTGTGATGGTAGGGATGCGCTTGGCTGCTGCCAGCTGGCAGTCTGAGAATGGATTGCTTGTAACCCTCCCTCCCTCTCAACCTGTGGCAGGTTTCCGACTGCACCACTTACAGTTGTTGCCTGCTGCGGCACAGCTGTGATGTTTGATGGTAGAGATGCGCTCGCCAGCTGCCAGCCAGCTGGCAGTCTACTCTCGCTCCAATCTGCCAATTTTGATAAAAATGCGCTGCGTGGTTGATAAATAGATGTGCTGCGTGGTGGCAGCTGTGCTGGAGTGGGCCGTTTCGTTCCAGACCCCGTTCCATACCGTTCCATACCCGTTCCAGACCCGGACCAACCCTGTACCACCCCTGACCCACTCTCGGGTGAACAAATGGCAGGTTCTCACATAGAGGTCTGAAGCTGAGTGGACAGCTTCACATGGTAGCCTGTGGATGACGCTGGCTACCGGTTGTGTCCTAGCTAGTGCACGAGAACTAGCCATGCAAGGCAAACCTGCATTGAACAGGTGTACAGCAAGCATGTCGTGCAGATATGTGCAGATGAGAAGTGAAAATGAGCGGCAGCCAGCGTGAGTAGCTTTAACAAGCATATCCCTGAGATGTATATTGCACACATATTTACAATAGGTATATTTATATATATATATGTACATATGTATGTATAGCTTATATTTCATCACACTCCAAAGGTCCGGAACAAGAACAGTTACGAAGCCCCTTCGTTCCATACCTCCGGAACACCGCGGAACGTTCCATACACAATTTTGACTCACAGCCATATATATATGTATGTGTGTGTGTTATTTATGAACTGGACACTTTTGTTGTTGTTTATTGCTCGTGCACTGTGTGTTTGAAGACATTTCCTTGATGGGTCTTCGACCTTTGTTTTCCGATCAGCTCGAAGACCGGATCCCTGGCAGTGCCGACTCTTACATCCACCATGACACAACCATTGACTTCAGATAATCGCAACCCCCCAAAAATAGAAAAGTCAAATATTACTAAATTAGTAGTGAATTACCTTCGGAGCTATCTTTTTGAAAATTTCTATAAGTCTACAAATCCATGGTCCCTTTTGAACCGCAGGTTGGCCAGATGCCGTTGCAGTTCTATCCAAGATGCGCCGCTGCAGCGTTCGCGCAGACGTCTTGCACGGCAACGCCATCCTCAGCAGCTTCTCCGACGGCGACTTGGCGCCGTGGCACCAAGGCACAGAGCTCTTGCGGTGGATGGGACGGGATGCGCTGTGCGATACCCGCAGCTTCAACATTTGCAGGACAGGGTCCAGGGGGGTTGGATCGATTTGGATAGAGGTTCTATCATGAAAAATCCCTGTTTTGAATGTGAAATTTGGTGTTATCAATTAATATCGATTATCAATAGAGAGTTGAAGATGTTGCTGTTCATGTCGTTTTCGAAGCTTTCAGGAGCCTGCTAGGCAGCTGGTGCCAGTGGAGCATGGCCAGCTGCCAGCTGGACAGGCAACGCCTCCGAGGCCTCGAGGTCTCCGTGGTCTCCAGGGGCTGCAGCGCAGCGGTGCTGGGCAAAGCTGCGCGCTGGATGGAGACCATGCAGTGCCTGGGAGGACGACCCAACGTGGCGCCTCAGCTGGACTAGCTGGACATCTCACGGGGGACCCCATTGGTGCCCCCGGATTTGCCATGCACATCCGGATCCGACCATCCCATTGGTTGCAGCTGGAAGCCCCAAAAACACGATGGCGAAAGAAAAACTGAAGCACACCCATCATCCATTTGCTTCCCCAACGTGACACCATGGTACTGGGAAGTGAAAAGGAAACACTTTCCAAGTTCATGTCTGGACAGCTAGCCTAGTTATAACCAACTTACTTTAATTACATATCCACTGTTTTGTTGGTTACATCACTCATTTATTCCCATCATCTATCCCCATGAGATTGGGACATTATTTAATATATATATATATACATACTTGTTCCCATTTTATCCCATGAGTACTGCAACCCCCAAACAGATAGAACAACCAATAAACAATGCCATTCAATCACTGCAAAATTACCATTAAATCATGAAATCACCTTAACATCATCACAAAAAAGCCCTAAAATCATCAGATATCACCACAAAAAAAAAACATAACCATCCCCAAAAAATAACCATAAAATCCCCCAACAAACAACCTCAACCTGGCCCTCAGGTCATCTTCGGCTCGGCCATGGCTTCGCTGCCAAGCACGTCTTGGTTGAAGGCCCTGGCCTTGGTGCGGCTGCTACGCATCCGAGGCTTTTCCATGGGGCCGTGGGGCTACCCCCATGGTTTCATGGTTGAAAAAATGGTCCGAAAATCACATGGATGATTTGGGGGTAAAATGAGTAAAATGTATAGCCCATTTTAAGGGAAACCTCTATAAGTATTCTATATGTATCAGTAAAATCACGGAGTTCAGAAATAAAAGACTGTGAGATAATATACAGTAATATGAACTAGATCAGACATACTTGCCAGAACTTGATTATTTAATATGTCTTTGTATAATCATCCTGGAGTAGACAAAATGTGGAATGTTGATTCATCTCTTCCCACTTTAGTGAGGAATTATTAGAATGTCGATATTCTATCTACTCCAGGATAACTATATATGTGTGAATTCACCCGTCCAAAAAATGACCCATGACATGTTTCGTGGGCCCATATAGAGTCACCAGGTCCATTGATTTTTTTACATCGTTGGCACCGTTACATGCCTTGGTTGGAACTGCTTGGAAGCCCCTTGCAGATTTGAGAATCCCAATCTGGGGGCTTGCAAACAAGGCTTATATGAAGCCATGTTCTATCCAGCCATGTTCTTAGACTTTTTACACTCTTGTGTATTCCTATTGCTTGAATTAAATTCTTCTTGATTAAACAACAAACAATGTTGCAGTGTGTGTTTTAGCATCTTTTTTCTTTTGATATCATACAGTTCTTGTTTGAGTTAAGCAACAGCAAAGTGAATTTCCTGTTAAACACCACCGTTATTCTTCGCGGTGAGATCAGCAAATTCTTAATTGAGCAAGCCTCAAAAAACCTACTAATCTAATTTTTGCTGTTGATTCCTTTTTATCAATATCCTTATTTTTGGTGGTAACACCAAAGTCCATTTTTGTTGCTGGCTGGTGTTTCCTTTTTTTGTATTTCCTAACCATTTTACCTACCAATAATCATGAATGATCCTTTCCCCCCGAATATCAAATACCCCCATACGAAACCTTGGTTTATCTATATAGTATTGGAATGTATAGGTTCTATTCATGACTTGGGGGTCCCACATGGTGGTAAATCAATATTAGATACTTAATGATACTTATATATTGGCTCTATAGTCATACATATATATATATATATATTATCCCCGCTTTAGGATGACTAAAGCATGATTAAACATGGTTATAACATGCTTAAAGCCCCCATTTTTCATGGTTGATTCCCCCATTCAGAACTTTGGGGTGGGCTTCCCCCATCCCATGGGAAGGTCTCCGCCTCAGCGACCAGTTTCTTGGAGCTGCTGAAGCGATCCTCCCCTGGCAACGCTCGCTGTTCTGCGGAGCTCTACGGACTTCGAAGAGGTCGTTGAAGACGTTTCACGGAGGACGACTGGGTTCAAAAGACCCGCGGTTTTTGTTTGGTTATAACATGTTATAATGTTATTGGGTTGATTAGTATACCATCAGGGTTAGTAGGGACTTAGTAGGGATTGGTGGGAATTATGCTATTATGGAGTTATATTAGCTGAGCTATTCAACATACCATTGTTCATTTATTCTACGGAGTTATTCTACCTGGGTGATTGTTTTTTTGGCAAAAGTAGGAACACTATCAACCAACTAGTATATGTTTTTTCTTGAGGGGAAGGGTAGTGGGGGTCAGTACAGTTTTCTTCTTCTTCTTCTTCTTCTTCTTAGGTTGAAGCTTGTTGAGACCTCACCCGGCCGGCTTGTTGAATTCCAGCCAAACATGTGATATGGGTATGGGTCAATACCTATAGATACATTGTTAGTGGGATGAACATCCATAAATCCCAGCTATTTTGGGGTTCACCAAAGGTACCAGGGTTTTGACCCATCCCCATATGTCAGGAAATATGTGACGTTGTAAAACTGCGGAATTCTGGGTCGAGGATTCAACTCATTCTTGCGCAATCCTAGGCCTAGTTGTCCTAGTTGACGCATTGTGTTAAGACGGGGTACCGGGAAAATTGGAAAATCCCACAGGAAAACCCATGGAAAATCTGGGGTTTTTTACACAAGAAACCCATGGCGCCATCGCTCCAAGATTGTGAAAAATCATTGTCCTGAAACCACTCAATAAAGAACCTTCCAACGAAGTAGCTATGATGATCCTAGTTGATGGTTTTTGTTTGTTTTAATCACCAATCTCAGAAATGGTTTACCATCTGGTAAACTAACATAGCTATTGAAAATGGCCCAGTTATAGTTGATTTACCTATTAAAAAATGTGATTTTCCATAGTTTTTTGTATATTTACCAGAGCGTATACTTATATCCTATATGTGAGGATGGTGGAACTTTGCTGCTTTCTTCGACCAATCCCAGCAGATACTGTAGGACTGGGCAACTTGGAGTGGCCTGATGCCCTGCAGCAGCTCAACACCTGCAGGTGCGATCAGACAAGGGACGGAGATTTCAAGCATCAGAAAACCTGGGTTTACGGTTATCAATCTGGTTTTACCACCAGAAAAACCAATGGTTTTATGGTTCGAAATCTCGAAAATTGTGAGTGAAGGTTGATTGAATCAACAGGGCTGTACTAAATGTATGGATTTACAACATACTGACAAGAGTTGACATGACAGGACGATACAACTGTGTAATTATGGGAATCCCCTTTATATGAACGGCCCCTTCTACAAGAGAGCATTGAATTCAACAACACATATCAAACTTGGTGTGGAAATCAGAGTCACGGAGGATGACAAAGCATGGACTAATACCACAAAGTGACAGCAGCATCCCTGTCAGTATTCTCGCCGCAGCATTTCAACAGCGAGCCCAAGCGGGCTGTTTGTCACGGATCCATGGGGCTGAATTCCACGGATGAGCTTTCGTAGGTGCATTTGGCGCCACCAAAAGTGACATATGTGACATACACTATCTGAATCTATCTGAAAAATGGGATCCAACAGATGATGATTCAATAAAAAAACCTCACGAATCCTCCTGCTCGGTCGAACATCGCTCCGTTGAATCCATCAGTGCCTTGGCTGAACCTCACAGGCCGATCTCTGGCGAAGGAAAACCATCCCCCCCAAAATAGTGGAGCCAGCATATACTGGGGATATTTCATGGGGACACAATGGGATGTAATATGGTTTCAGTCAGGGTTGCCCAACCTATTATAGGGGATTGCCACTTTTGGTAATGTTTCCTCTTTATGTACCCATTTGGTTCTCTCTTATCTGGGGTGTTGGGAGCGACTATTACACTTCAGCTGGATTTATTGTTGGTTTTCTATGCTACTAGCTGCTACCTGTGATGATCCAAGTTGACTCATAGCATCTCATAGCGGGATGGGTTGAAACATGTTACCAAGCAGGAAGACCTCCACGGTGATTAGTGGATTTTTCCAGCCGTTCACCACTTTGGGTTTCAGTATAAGGAATGACACGTGCAGCTCCGAGGGTTTTGGACCACGTTGATTTTTGCTACTGCTATGCGATGCAAATGCATGAGACGAGTGAGTGTGTCCGAAAACGGGAATATGTCCTGAATCTTCCGTAAATGTCCTGAAATGGTCATTTGTAAAACTACTTCAAAATACATTAAACTAGGGATACTCATTATTTTCACCAGATGTACCCTCTGGTAAACGTTTACATAGCGAACTGGAAAGATCCACCATGCTATTCATGGGAAAATCCACTATTTCTATGGTCATTTTCAATAGCTATTTTGACAATTACCAGAGGGTCATGTGGCTATACCCCCCATTTTCAGACACCGAGGTGTGCAGCGTTTCAATCATCACCGTCATGGATGGAACCATGGCGGCAGCGTTAGACGGGGATGAGCCGCTCGCGACGTAGGGAAGCGATAAATTTACCAAAGCTGGTTATTTTGATGGGATTTTATGGGAAATTAATGGGATTTTATGGGAAATTATTAATGGGATTTTATGGGAAATTAAAGGGATTTTATGGGAAATTAATGGGATTTTATGGGAAATTAATGGGATTTTATGGGAAATTAATGGGATTTTATGGGAAATTAATGGGATTTTATTGTGATTCAATTGGATATTAATGGGATATACCGTCTGGTTATGACTAACATAGCCATGGTATAGATGGCCCATTGAAATAGATGATTTACCTAGCTATAAAATGGGTGGATTTTCTATGGCGAACTGTTAGTCATAACCAGATGGTATATATATATATATATATTACTGGTTGGTGGTTTGGAACATGGCTTTTATGACTTTTCCATTCAGTTGGGAATGTCATGATCCCAACTGACGAAGTCCATCATTTTTCCGAGGGGTAGGTATACCACCAACCAGAAAAACATATATCTGAAGTTCATAGATATAATTAATGAACACGGGATTGATGTAGATTAAGATCCAATATTATATTTACACACATAGAGTATGAACATATGTCAGCATCGTGGATATGGATAGATGGTCTGGGTATTCATGGGTTTGTCGAGAAGAAACATGATAAGAATGATCAATGACGCTGCGGCGGTCCTCGTTAGGCCGGGCTGGACCCACGTCTGCGACCTCTGGTGCGCTGGCTTGGCCCGACTGGGACCGCTGCGGCTCACGGAGCTCATGGCGCCTTCTCCTCGTGGCTCCTTCCTCCGAGCCCTGCTCTTCATCCCTTGGGCCGCTGGCCGCATCCACACCTGTGCCCTCCCATTGCCGTTCACTCCCAATCGGGATATTGCGCCTTCTCCTGTCTGGCTTCCCCTTATGATTGGAAGGCATCAACGTCGCCGGCTCACCGGCTTCCTCAACCAGCAAGCGCCACCGCCGGAGACAACCTGGGATCCTCTCTTGCCTTGGCGAAACCGCCCTTGGTTTCGGCTTCGCCGGCGCCATCCCCATCTTCGAGAGGTCGGGCGGCAGCGCTGGTGCGGGCAGCCGCTTCGAGGCATCCGAATTGGAGAGGCCCAAAACCCTGGCCCACCCATGCCTGGCACGCCTTTGGGCGGGGATCGCCCCCCCCGAGAGAGGTCGCCCCAAGCTGCCGGCCAGGGACGTGTGTTTTGCCCTGTGCCAATTTGTCCCTGCTCCGACCCTAATCGGGCGAGGGGCTGGGCCAGCTGGACAACTATGAGGAATCACATCGATGCCCACCTTGCGGGCTCATTGCAGGGCGATGTGCCCACAGCTTGGCTGCACTCGCAGAACCGCACACGGTGCCTTGTTTGCGGGCTGAGCGTGTCCCAAACCCACGGGGTGCACCCCACATGCCGGCCAGCAGCCCGGGCGGCTGCGGTTGACCCAGCTCAACCCATGGACACGGACGCCTTGCAGCTTCCTTCGCTGGTTGCCATTCAAGCTGCCAAGACAGCCACACTTCGTCACATCCCGGTTGCAGCCCGACACAGCTGGAGCCAGGTCCTGACGCGCGCCTTGGCCGCTGTCGCCCACAGCAATGATGATAAGGCTTGGCGGGAGCTGCTCATGCTCCCTAAGTGTGTGCTTTGCGCCCCAGCCCGGGGAGGGAGACAGCACCGGAAAGCCGCTGCCGCTTACACCCTGGACCGGCTTCAACAGTGGCAGGAAGGGGAGCGGTTGTCTCTGTGGGACTCTCGCTCTCAAATCCGAGAAAGCCGCGGCAGCACACCTTCCAAAGAGCAGCGACAAGCCTTGGCCACCAGCCTTGCCCGGGAAGGCTTTGACCGGAAGGCCTGTGCGGCCCTGTTGTCAACCGGCTTGTGTGCCCCCACTGCTGACACAGCCGCAGCCTTGCGGGCCCTTCATCCTGACCAGCCTGCTCCCACAGTGGCCGCCATCAATGATCTTCCGCTCGCGCCTGAACTTGCCCCTGACCTTGTTTTTCGCTGCCTCCGTGCCTTCCCTCGGGAGACGGCGCCTGGGGCATGTGGCCTTCGCATTCTGCACCTCAAAGAAGCCTGTGTCGCTGGAAGCAGTGAAGCTTTCCTCACCCAACTGACGGCGGTGCTTAACTTGTTGGCTCAAGGCCGTGCGCCCGACTTCGTTGCGCCTGTTCTGGCTGGGGCAAGCCTGGTCGCGCTCCCCAAACCTAATGGAGGAGTTCGGCCTATAGCAGTTGGGGAGATCCTGCGGCGGCTCACGGGGAAGTGTTTGATGAGCCTGGTCCGTGAAGATGCACGGTCCTACTTCTGGCCTGCGCAAGTTGGCGTCGCTGTTCCGGGAGGTGCTGAAAAAGTCGTCCACACAGTTCGAGCCTGGCACCGGCGGCAGCAGTGCTCCTCTCACAAAGTGGTGCTAAAACTCGATTTCACCAATGCATTTAACACGGTGAATCGCGCTGCAGTGCTGACAGCCGTCTCGGAGCATTTCCCTGCCTTGAGCCGGTGGGCAACTTGGTGCTACCAGCGACCTACCCGGCTGCAATTTGCTGAGTGGGTGGTTGAGTCGAGTGCTGGGGTTCAACAAGGTGATCCTCTAGGACCTCTCCTGTTTGCGGTCGCAATCCAACCTCTTGCCCGCGACCTTTGCAACGCTGGCTTGGACATTGCAGTCCACTACCTCGATGATGGGATTCTGGCTGGGGATGTTGCTGCGGTCAGCCGCGCTCTCCGCTTGGTCGAAGCCAGGGCAGCAACCATTGGTTTGACCTTGAACCTGGCCAAGTGTGAGCTGGTTGCAGCTGGGTCCACGGACATTGCTGCCCTGCATTGCCACTTCCCCGACAGCTTGCTTCGCGACGCTGAGGGGTCCAACAAGGTGCAGCGTGACTTCGAGCTCTCGGGTGCCGCCGTTGGGGATGCTGCCTTTGTCCGGGCCCACACCGCTGAACGGGCCGCCAAAGCAGGCGACCTCCTTGACTCTTTGGGAGAGTTGGAGGACCCACAGGTTGCCTTACGGCTTCTTCGCGCCTGTGCCGGGTTTGCTCGGATGCTCCACAGCATGCGCTGCAACCCTGTCACGGCGCAAACCATGGCCCTTGACATGTTCGATGGCATGCTCCGGCGGAGCTTTGGGGACTTCACTGGTTTGCACCTTACAGCAGCGCAATGGCAGCAAGCATCATTGGGCCTGGCGCATGGGGGGCTTGGCCTCCGGTCAACTTCCCAGCATGCCGCTGCCGCCTTCCTGGCGTCTTGGGCATCCACTCTGACTTCTGCTGCTGAGCTTGACGCAACTTTTTCTTTGGATGAAGCAAAAGCTTGCCCAGACGTCCTTGCCGCCCTTGCCGCCTTTAACGCCCAGCTTCCGGCAAGTCAAGCCATCAGTCTCGATACCGCTCTGGGCCACAATCAGACAGCTTTGTCCCAGATGATTGACCTGGCTGCCTGGGAAACGCAACTAGCCCACAGCACCATTACCGGCAGGGCCACGCTCCTCTCTGAAGCTTCTGTTGGGGGGAGAGCTTTCTTGAATGCCGTGCCCAGCGGACGAACCCAGATGGAACCTGCGGCCTTCTTGTCAGAACTTCGTGTCCGCCTCCAAGTACCAGATGCAGCTTCGGACACGTGGTGTCCCTTATGTGACGCTGTTCTTGATCACAACAGCCACCACGCCGGGATGTGCGTTGCTGGCGGAGAGCGCACACAAAGGCATCACGCTGTCCGCGACTTGGTGCATACCTGGTGTCAAAGAGCCGGCCTACGCCCGGAACGGGAAAAGCTAGGGCTACTTCTCCCCACCGGCCCGGAAGACATGAACAACAGCCAGGCCCGCCGACCCGCTGACGTGTACTTGCCTGCCTTTGCGGGGTCTCCCACTGCTTTTGACTTTGCCATTACAGCGCCGCAGCGGCAGGAGACTCTCGCGCAGGCAAGCGTGCGCACGGCGGCGGCGGCAGAAGCCTATGCCAGACACAAGGAACTCCACCTCCACACGGCCCAGGCCTGTGAGCAGCAAGGGGTCAAATTTGTTCCTCTTGTTGCTGAGTGCACCGGCACGTGGGATCCCAGTGCCTTGAAAGTTTTGAAACACATGGCCCATGCAGCTGCCGCCAAGACCGGTGAGGAACCGGCGGTCTGCTACAACCACAACTGTTGCAGGAACTTGGCACCACGATTCGGTCCTTTCGGGCCCGAGCTGCGCTGCGGCGCCGCTTCGAAGCTTCTTGAGCGTGGCACCTTCATTGGCACTACAGTGGGCACCCTTCCAGGTCCAGGTCACAACCGTCGAAGATCGAATTTGGCTTGATGCCGCCCACATGGATCCCCATGGCTATCACCAGTGAGAGAGCGCTTCCTGTCCCTTCTTGGGGTTGCTGTCCTTTGCTGTTTTCCCAATCCGGCTGCTCCTTTTGCTTCGTCCGTAAGTGTCGCTGCTGGAGTTTTGCTGCGATTGTTGGCAATGGATCGCATGCGTCGAGCCATTGCAGTATGGTTGACGCTGGCTCTGTTTTTGGCAGTTTGGCCGGACTGCCGCATTTTCCAATGAGTTTCACTTCAATTTCAGCTGATTTCGGCCCCTCGATAGTCACTGGAGCATTTTTTGTTCCAGTCAGCCTTGTGAAGGCATGGGTTTGTAGTTATTATATGTTATCACCATGATAAAGCGAACGATGTCATGGATCAAAACGCCACCGGACCAGCAGATGTTCCACCAGGCGCAGCGTGCCAGGTGCCACATCCACAGTCGCGATCCCGATTGACAACTGAATATGTATATTCCTGAGATTATGAGTCGGCATAAACCGATGAAACACGATTCTGATGTCTTGTTTTTCACAACTAGATGACTGTTTACCTGAAGGTCAATCAGAAGTTGGCTAGCACAGAGCACACCCAAAAAAATGATATGATATATCTTATTATATAATCACTATCAACCATTATTAATCATCATTGTCCACTATAAACCATTCTTTAGCCATTTGTATCAGTATTAATCACCATGAACTCAGTGATGCAAGTTGACACCATTCGTCGCCCGAGGCTGAGGATCCCCAATAGCTGGTTGGTTTCAGGCCGACAATTCGAAAATCAATTGGATGATTTAGGGATACCCCCATGACTTGGGAAGCCTTCATTTTTGTGAAAATCACCATTTAACACCCAAATCATCCCAAAATTTGCCATGTTAGTATTGAATCCCATGGTTTTGGGGATCCAAAAATTTCAGAAACCCCCATAAGAATGACAAAAGTGCCGTATTTCCTGCGTGCATATTCCAATGTGACGACATCATTGTCCATTGAGTTTCAGGGATTTGTCGTTTATCTAAAAAATACACGAACAGGCTCAAATTCGCCATCATCATCGAAATCCATTAAATCACCAGCATCATTGAAAAATTGTTTGTTTGTTTTTTTCACCATCATCATTCAAAATCCATTAAATCACCACAAATTGTTGCACCAGAACTCCCCACGTTTTTTCACGCCATGCTTCGAACCTTAGGAGATGCAACTGGCGCCTCTGGGCGTAGCCAGGAGCTGTTTGATCTCTTGGATCAGTGGCTGGGTTGCAACCACTGAGTTCCGGCAGCGGATTTGGATGCGGCAATATATGAGATGATAATAATTCAATGGCCATTCCAGGATCCGATTGATTGGAGGTACCTACCATATGTAAGGCCTATTTTTTAGGCCTATGCAAGGGAATATCCCCACAAAATATGGCCTTATATGGTACAGTACCTTCATTTTAGGATCCTGGATTTCCCATTTAATTAATAATAGTCTATAGTAACCATAATGAAATATGATAATGACAACAATAATTACATATAAGAATACAATATACATTATATATATATATGTTATGATCTTGAATAATGCATAACATGCAATTGGTGATAGTAAACACTATATCATGGTAATTGATAATACTAATAGTAATGATAATAATACTACTAGTAATGATAATAATCACATTAACAATACTGTAAAATAATAATCATAATCTAAGACACAAAAAATGAGGATTGAATATGATTGAAGCAACATAATATATTTCTTCACCGCCTTATGTTGGTTTATGCTATGGTGATTTGAATATGGTGTTTCTTGGGCTCCACCCATGGGATTTCAAGTTACCTGTAAACTTACCATATGACTGGGGGAATTCACATCCATTAACCAGCTACAGCAATGGTACCGTTTGGGTACCGTTTGGTTTTGATTCATCTCCCTCATCGCCATAAAAATTGCATATGGTGTATATACATATGTATACTAGTGTATCATTATTATATAGATCCATGCTTGGAAATTAGAAGTCCACACGTTCTGCTCCAATTTCCGGCAGACGCAGGCCATCAGCCCTATGTTTTTTTTTCCGCAACCTCAATGATCGACGTTGCGAAATGGCCAGCCTCATCATGAATGATGGTTAGTAAGGGAAGCCGTCCCCACTATACAGTTCATGGGGATCTACTCAATACATACATCTTAGCACTATGTCACTATGTGTCGATTGACATCCTTGCCTCATAGAATCGAAGAGAACATCTGCAGGACCCTTCCTATTTTAATGAAAAAAACATCTAAAACCATAGCTTCCGGGTAAAGTTTTTCCCCAGAGAACCACCCATTGAATGTCATATTGGTTAGTTACCATCTGGTTATTTAACATAGCCATGGAAAATCACATTTTTTAATAGGTAAACCATCTATCAATGGGCCATCTATACCATGGCTATGTTAGTCATAACCAGAGGGTAAATCCCATTCAAACCCATATTTTTTTCTGGTTAGTCCCATGAAATCCCCAACAAAAACGGCACCTGGGATGTCCGGTATCAGGTGCCGTCAGGGGATAAGCGTATTGTCTGCAGAGAACGAAGCATTACGACAACAGCTGGGCATTCAGGAGAGATAAGCTGCGGCGACGGGAGACGGGGAGCGTCATTGTGATTTTTGGGGGTTTCCATACATAGGGCCTAATAGGGGCTACCCCAGCTGGATGCTTATCTGGTGGTTTGGAACATTTTTTGATTTTTCCATATACTGGGAATAATACTCCCAATGCCAAGTGACTAATATTTTTCACAGGGGTTGAAACCACCAACCAGTTATTATAATTCAAAAAATCCGAAAATATATAGAATGGATGATGTGGGGTACCCCCTATTTTAGGAACCCCCGATATTTATTGGAAATAGGAATCCAATGATATGCATGATATGATTGTGATATGGATATAATTATGATATAACAATTGGACACATGTATGCTATATATGGTGACATTTACCATCAATATACCCCAAATGTTAGCATATATACCATACATGGATCCTATGGGTATTAGCATATATTATATTGAATGTGTATAACCAGCAATATGATATGTGGGTTTGTCCCAAAATGGGGGACACCCCCTGGATCCCTCTAGTAATTTTTCAGAGTTTGCTGTAGAAAATTTGGCTTGTTTTTAGAACCATGAGATATGACTGGGGTGTGGGATATTCGCCAAGAGTGGCGGATTTCACTACCAAGAACGGACGAAATGATGAATTGTATAAGTATCAATATACATTATATATATATATATATTTGATATATGATATATATATATATGTATGTATATATATATATATACATACAAACATAGCCAGGAGATGCCACACGAAGATGTTACCGTTTTACAGATTAAGATATGTGTTTTCTTACATAGAAATGGTGTGATGTAGCAAGGTTGGGAAGTGGGATCCCCTCAGGAAGTCAAAGATGGCAATGGACAATCCTGTATCGATATCTATTTATATCTATCTATAGAGGATGCCCCCATTAAACATCCATCTTTTTGGGGTGATGTCTAATTGGCTGTTTCCAAAAAACACCCCGTTTTTGTCGCAATCTCCTTGGGTTCAGGGGGCTCCACCATAAACCATAAAACCTTTGACATTGTACAGAAAAAGTGGAAGATTTACCCCCAGATTGGATAGGAAGAGGATGACATCAGATTGGAAAAGCGTGTCCCGTTTTGTTTTGATCCCAAAATTGGGGGGATTCGAAGTAAAAAACGTCACCGACTGAAGATTTTGCACCCCCACCGGAGCGAGAAACCCTGGCAGGAAGAGGTGTCTGAGATTGTCGAACCGCCAGAACCCCTGGAAGGACGTCAGAATATGAGTAAAATTGCCATTTGATCTCTGGGCTGCAAATTTGACCATATCCATCCATATCCATCCATATCCAACAGGTAAACGAACGGGAGTAGGATAGGAAACAAACAGGCATTGAGAGGATAGAGATGCTATTTCTTATCAGAATCATACTTAAATATATATATATATAATTTCACTGGGAACCAGTAATACCATCCTGCTGTTTTTACATCGTCCCTGTTGACTTTGGGCCTTGGATCTGGACCGATGGCTCCGACGTGGAGTCACTGAGGCCCAGAACAGATGTGATAGCGACCTCCACTTCAACCCTACCACCAGTGCCTTGCCACTGAATCTCGATGACCCATGACGATATCATCGTCACCTCCTTTAAAAATCGGATAAATGTGGATACCTTGGGAGAAAAGGATCAGGTGTTGTTTCCAATCGGAGGTATTCAACCGAAATCTCAATGCTATAGGCTTCTTTGAAGGAAGTCACTGGCTGGCGGCCGATTGCTGGGTATCCATGTGAAACACATCCTGGGGGCGTAGTGTCTGTGTTCACAACTGGCAGCTTGTCGATTCCTTGGAATGTGGTTACTGTATATATTTCCAAACAATCAAAAACAACCAGACAGAGAATATCTAATCTAATACCTAGTTATTGACATATTATATGTATATATGTATATATATAAATACATATCATATATCCACAGCTACCATGATTACAAAACCAAGAAGAGACACACTCAACAACTCTACGCCAGGTTCGAAGTGACTCAGTGCCTTTCTTTGCTCCTTGGCGATCTGTGTCTGTGGCAATTTGAGTAGGGAAAAAGAGGATCAACCCATGGATTCTGGGAGATTCTCCTCCCTGCCAAAATTTGGCATTGTGATACCAGGTCTCTTTTTGCGGGAGTTTTTGTCAAAGCATGACCAAATCCCAGAGATTCCCATTGACCAAATCGTGTGAGGTTTACCCTCTGGTAAACTAACATAACTATGGAAAATCCCATTTTTAATGGGAAAATCCACTATAAATGGCCATTTTCAATAGCTATGTTAGTTTACCAGAGGGTAAGTAAACACCACCAAGCATCCCAGAACTGGATGAACGGTCACATCTTCAGGAATTCCCATT